AACATATTAGTAAGCCTGGAAATTTACAATTCCGCTTGAACAATCGAAAATTGAACAATCGAATAAATGTTATTTCTGAACTAGCCCAATAAAATACGTATGGACCACCGTGCCTAAAAGTTCGTCTTACTGCTGCAAGACTCTTTATTTTTAATTGTATCGATTTTATTCTGTTGTTGTTTTTGTTGTTCGTAATTTATTTCAGCGGTTCTCAATATGATAAAATATATACAAAAATTGGTAAATATTCTATTCCCCAGTTGGATTCATGGCTCGGGCGAAAATTGAAATTTTCAGGGTACGTTACGTACGTACAATGGAGAATGAAAAACATTTATGTATACGATGTTTGCTTATTGTTTTACCAAATTTGGCTGTGCGATTCGGCCAATCACATTTTGACAAATTTACTGCGTTGAAAATGGGAATCCGGCGGAGATGAAACACGGAGAGAAAATTTAATTTAATTTTGATCGTATATATATGTTTATGTGTGTGTGCGTGTGTTTGTGTGAGGAGACAGAATGCGACAGCAGCTGTTAAGCATAATAATGAAGTTTCGAATATTTCGACCACAAATTTGATTCATCAAATTGTGTTTCATATGCGAAATGGCACATGCATGTTGGCAAGAGCATGAAACAATTAATGTTAAATTTATCGAAGGGTTTGAGTTCGACTGTTATCATTGTTACGTGCGTTCTTTTGGTCGGCATTTTCTATCATTATTTTTTTTTTATATTGAAAAACTCAAAAACCTGAATTTAATGAGGAGCTCATACACAGACATACGCATGTCGCAAAATTTCTTTTGGAAGCCAAAACAAAGAATAATTACAACAGTTCAGCAAATGAAGAAAATCTAAAAAGCAAACAACCGATTAAGTTCTATTGCGACGTGTCTAGCTCTTCCATCAAACAGTGTTAAACACATCCAAAGCGAAAGCAGACGTACAGAAGTTAGTTTTCCTCTTTTTACTTTGTCCTGTTTCGTATGCATGCCTCGTAAAACTGAATTCAAAACCAAATTAGTGTCCTTAAAAGTTAAGCAGAACAAACAGCTCCGAAATGCGGTTTTTGTCACAATAAAATTATTTAACGTTTTAATGACGGGGGCTAAATACGAATTACATTGAACATCAGCAGCAGCAGCAGCAGCAGCAGCACAAGCAGAAGCACCATCATCCGACACAACTAGTTTCAATGTGTTGCCACTGTGCGCCCTTAACCACAAATCGCTCAAACTCCTTCGGTAGTGTGTGTGTGTCTCCTCTTTGTCTTTGCCAAGTCGTTCATCGATTTGTGAAAGAAACAGTGCATGAATTTCGGGTTCGAATGCAATTAGAAGAGCGTACGACATGTTACGACTGGCTCTGGTTCGGAAAATGTAAGTTCTTCCACACATGTATGTATATTATATTCCATTCAAAATGAGAATAATTTCAAATTTGTTATGGAAATGTGTGAAGACATGCATGCATGAACCAGAATTTAAAGTGTAAGCATGGTGGCATTGCAAACTGTTGATGTGTATTTTGTCAAATGTGCGAGAGCCACACTATCCGTCTCCATTATTATGTGCGTAGCTTGTACAAGTGTGTTTAGCCAAAATATTTTCGGATAATTGATATGGCATATTAAAATATTTTCAGTGTTTTGAATGCTTGCGAGCCCGAATAATGTGAATTTGTAAATCGGCACACAACTGCCGTTGTCGCACCCGAAAACTTTAACGAAAAATAATTTTCACCACATTCATTTAATTGTCGTTCGATAAACGATAGACACAGAGAGCATTTAGTGTGATAGTTTAAAATTTTGGCATGGCCCTGGCTGTTTATCACGAGCCATAATTATTATTTGAATTTCAATTCAAAACTTATATCATTTTGTTGCGCTTTGGTATCCACACTTGACTGATGACTAATTATGCGTACAACACATTCATCTTCAATGCCATTTTCAAAACGAAAAAGGAAACCACTTGAACCAAAACAACCGAATGCCCTATAGAATGAGTGTGTGTATGTATGCGTGCGCTCTTTTATTTATGTGAGAATGTACATATTCACAACTTATAGCTTTAGGTGATTTATTTGCTTGTAATTGCTTTAAATTCGAGCTCTTCGTTTTATCACACAAACGAACTGCAAATAAATTCTTGGCCAAACAAACTGCTGTCACATCATATTATTATATTTGTCGCATAAATGAACGAGCGAATCCAAAGTGTGATATCGTATTACAATTCAACATGTATGCCCTCTTCGTCTCCGCGTCTTTGTCTCTTTGTATGTGTGCGTCTCTTTCGGTTTTTATTTGCGTACAATTTCGTCTGATCTGCGGCATCTTGAGTGTTTGCATTACGATTTTGCACATCGACTGATCTCAACATTTGCGTGCACCAGACATGCCATAAAAAATATTCGACTCGCTCATATTCTTCAGTCATTACTGCCGCATGTTGCTCGGCTTTGTAATTGATTTGTTTTTTTTTTTTTTTTTTTTTTTTCGGAAAAAGAGGAACGAGACACAATTACGATGATTGTATAACAAAGAAAGCAAAAAAACATTTTATTCACATGAATTCGTTGTCGCGCAAAGCGACGACAAATGCTTCGCTCCGCTTTTGCTCTTCAATTAAAAACCCCGATGCATTAACGCGCGAATCCACAGTCACAATTGACAAAATGAAAAATACGACGTTGTATTTATATTCAAAATTAATTACGAAATGAAGCTGTGGCGACATTAACCTCCATAAATAATTCGGGCGATGCAATATATGAAACGAATTACTATATATTCAAATCAACGACATCAAACATGCGCACGATATTATTGTAACTCTTGTGCATATTGCATTGGAATCATGTATGTTTTAAGTGACATGATGACTTAATGCGTACAAACGTCACATTCAACAACCGACATACAGCTAATAGTTTTAAGCAGATTGTACATTTGTCGCATTTTCGTTAATTTTCTCTCTATTTCTTTTGTCATCCTTTTGGTGTTTTGTGACGTGTTTGTATTTTTGGGATTTGTGACTGTCATTGTTGATGTCATGCATTTGAGTTGTTTCTACATTTTACTTTTCACAATTGGCTTGTCGCACATATGGAACACACGAAATGCCTCTGTTTCAATGTATGTAATGTATGCTTCACAACCCGGAAAAAAACTTAATCGCTCCATCTGTTGAAACCACACATTTTTCACAGAGTCATGAAAACAGTTACTGCGGCCTCAGGAATGAATGATTGAAATTCCAAAATCTTTAGATTTATTACCTAATAATATCATCATCTTATTTTGAAATAAATTAGACGCTTTCAACAGATGAGAGAGATATATCTAATTCGGCAAAACCACTCGCGCGCACACACAACTCAATATATTTACAAACAAAAGAATACCATCAATTCAGAAATGTTGATATTGGTTTTGTGTTCGATATCAGGATAAAGATTCATCAAACATTTCCTCGAATTGCGATCAAAGAATATGAAACATAGCATTGGGGGTAATATAATACGTTCTGTTTAAATTGGGCCAATTCACAAATATAAACAAACTTGAACATGATCATTGTGTTGAAAATTCCATTGAAAAAAGCATCGCCACATATTGTTTTCGATGGTGTTGGTGTTACAATCAAACCCTTTCAAAACACGATTAACTGATACAGATTCAATGCTTTGGTTTGACCAAGATGAGAAAAAAAACAATTCAACTTTGGATTATGGAGCATCGAACTATCTTCCTGAGTGCTTTGCTCTCCTTTTATGATTTATTGTATGCCAACTGTTGGTCAAGCTGATACTCTCAAATATACTTGAAATTTTTCTGCTGACGAAAAGAGATAAAAGTATATAGGATGCCATTTAAGTGGAAAAAAATGGTCGGCCATAAATCAATCAACGAGAAGTTTATGTTGTGCGCGCTTTATCTGGGTTCAATTTGCAATACGTTCACACAACAATTGAATGTGAAAATTATTCGGTCCAATAAATAAAATCCTCATATCATCTCAACCACAAACGTCATTTTTATTCGAGGATAAGACGAAAATAAACACACTCTCCGTTTATGAACACAATATCCCGTTGATCTACGTTGACTGAATCACAGTGATTCTTTATGCTCGTAAATTATTTATTAACACTGACATGTCAAACCGAAAGTGCATTTACAATATAAACTAAATGTGGAAAAAACGTTCGTTGTATACTGAATGCGGCAATCTTAATATGAAAATTTCATAAGCTATAAATGACGCTACTCCCTCCTTGACACAATTCAAATTTCGATTCGCTGTTATTTTATTTACCTACCTCTAATGGTACTTCATCACATTTTCACAATTCGACTTGAATTTTCAATCGATTTCCTGTACATGACAGTTCGATTATGTGCTCGTTGCTTATTTGCTGATATAAACTGGACCATAAACCATAATCAAAAGCCAAACGCAATACACAATTGATAGGCCAACCGGCTCGGCAATGACTGTTGACATCAAGATTCTTTTCAAATTCTCGAATTTCATCCGTCGATGATGAATACACTTATAGTCAAATTAAGTGCTATCAATAAAATAGAGATGAAACTTGGGAACTGATTCTCTTAAATCATTGCCATTCGCAAACAATTCATTTAAATTTAGTTCGGTTTGTGACTCATATCGAAATCCATCAGATATTTTCTTTACTGTAAACATAACTGAATCGTCGCATTTAAAAATAATGCTCCCACAGTGACACAATATGCTTTCAATCGCATTGACTTGTGAAATGAATACAAATACATCAACAGAAATGCATCCTCCTCCCTCCTGGTGTTTCGATGTCAACACAACAAACATGTCATATGTTTTATTTATTGGAATGTGTGCTTCATTGGTGTGTGTTCGATGGCTTGAACGAATCAGTTGACAAAATCAAAATAAAAGAGTTGGGTCATTCTTGTATTGTTATTTATATAGTTCAGACGTACATTTTAAGCGAACAATTTTTTAGTCATATTTTTATTCGTTTGGCTCCTTGTAAGTGGCAAAATCAACAATGGCAGGTCGAGAATCAAATGGTCTCGAACATTTCTATGCTGACTTTTATGAACGTAAAACCCGGAATTTAAATTTGAAACAACACATTGATCAAGATTTGAATGAATTCCATGTATTGGAACGAAAATACATTATGATGGAAGAACTGTACGTAAAATTTAGTGTAAATTTTCTCCATCCCTTTAAGAATTTTGAAAATATATATATAGTGAGCGTTAATTGCATTTTCTTTCTTCACAAAGGTTGATAGACATAAAGATCCACAAAAATGAGATGTCCAAAATGTACAATTATATGGTTGATGTCATCGGTGATGTGCGCGTCGCAGACAAGGAATTGCGCCACAAAATTGATGTATTGAAAGATTTTCACGAAGAAATGAACAAAGTAAGTTTTATTTGTATTTCTTTAAATTCTTATTTTTGATTGCCGTTTTAAACACGAACGAATATTTGATTTTCTTTTCAAAAGCGTAATGAGAAAAAGGCGACAGAAGTGCAAGAGCTCAAAGACAAGATCGCGGCAACCAAAAAGGAAATACACGAATTGAAGAACAAAGAACAAACATCGATCGAATTTTCGAAGGATGAACAGAATTACGAGGAAAATGGTGCCGGCGACAGCGACAGCGACATGGTAGTGGATATGAGAGCGGATAATGATTACATGGATTTCATGCAAAATTATTTTCGTCGTGGAACGAATATAGTGAGTTCCACCGTTCACGGACATGACAGTTCAGACCAAGACTCAGATACAGCCGAAGACAAGTTGAATTAAATAAGAGTGTCAAATTGTCATTGAAAAATGTTCGAATCGAATTTTCTGTTGATAAATTCAAACTTGAAACTGAAGTTCAGTGTTTTTATTTTCGCTTGATGATTTTTTAAATGTTATAATAGCAATATTTGTAAAGGTCACAGCTAAGTGGAATAGTCGTAATCATGGTGAAAATCCATTCAAACGTGAGTACCACACTGAAAAAAGTCAATAAGCAATATGAATTTTCTAAGAGGGTCACTGACATTTTAATTTGCTTTCAATTTTTCTCTAAATTTCATCTCTGGATGCCGTAAATAAACACTAAACAATGATACGCTTGTAGTGAAAAGTGTATCAATCGACGCATTCAAATTCCGCTCGTGACTCATTTTGAATGCCTTAAAATATTTCGTTACTATAAACAAAACTTAGTCATCATATTGAATACGTAAGTGTATGCATGTTCATACGATAACGCTCTTTGATTTGTGTTAGTGTAAGAATATACAAACACATATGCAACAACGAAAAAATGTCCATCTCGCTGGTGTTTTGGTGGCAACACAACGTAAACGTCAGTATACGTCAAATCATCGTTTGAAAGAACGAGTTGGAACGATCGCAGTTTGGTCATTCTTGAATAGTTATTGATATTGTGAAGACGTATATATCGTCCTCTCTGAATTTTTTTGCGAAAACTTTTTTGTCACCTGAATCGAATACCAATAATCGGTCATGGCAGCCAGTGAATCAAACGAAAACAACCATACTGATAAATGGTTTGAAGATTTGGAAAATATGATGTATCGCAATTTGGATTTGGAAGCGGAATGTACCGTCAAATACGCAGAATGCAACGCATTGGAACAAAAATACCTTCTGCTTCGGCAAACGTGAGTATAAATCAATTTTATTAATTAACAAAACGTCGCGTATAAATTACCTCTCTTCAGTCATTTTGAATGTATATAAAAACAAAATTGCATTTTCTTTTTCTCTCAAAAGGTTGACAGACACGAAAGTCAAGATAAACAACTTGTCCAAAGAGAACAACTTTGTGGTTGATATGATCACACGTTCGCTAAATATCGGACAGGAAAATCGTCGCAAAATCGATGAATTGGAAAAGAAAAAAGTATATTTCTTTTGTTTAATATTTAAATGATCATTTTGATTAACATTTTAATGGAGAACATTGGTTTTGTTTGGTTTTTCGCATTAGTGTAACGATGAAAAGGCGGCAAAGGTGCAAGAACTCAAAGACAAGATTGCGATAGTGGAAAAGAAAATAGGTGAATTGAAAAACAATGCGCCGATCGACTATTCGAAGGCTCAGAAGAAAAGCGAGGGAAATGGCGTTGGCGTCGTGAAAGTCGAGCCGAGTGATGATTACTCTGTTCAGATGGATTTCATGGAAAAATACTTTCGTCGCAGCCCGCCATGCTCAAAAGTGAGCTCAACATTGAACGACCATTCAAATTCATCGGATTCAGTATAAAATGAAAACATACAACAATCCTTCTAATCGTTTTTTTTTTCAAATGCAATGTAAAATTTGTCAATCAGTTTTACGTTAAAATTGTTCGAATTGAAATTTCCTTTGGAAATCAATAAATGACTTGAAAGTCTCATTTATTCAGAACAACAATAACACCGAAGAGCATTGCTTGGTAATATTTGTTTCTCTCTAGGTTTGATACAAAGTCGACTAACGATAATCATAGTGAAAATCCATACACAGGTAAGAATGTGTGGAGCAATTTTCGTGTATTCATTCGTTGGGCTCTAAGTAATTCGATGCAATTAGTCAAAACATACGATGGAAACAAACAAACAAAAAAAATCGACATGAACAAAAGAGCATGATGTACAATTTGCCTTGTGAATGTAATTTGAGCCGAACTCTCTTATTTGATGGCTTTTGTGATGAAATCAGCGCAACTAGCATCGTTTCTTTTGATATACATACAAAATAGATGGTGAATGCCATATATAAAACCTGCAGATGCTTGCAAAATAATTAAAATCCAAAATAATAATAAACAAGAAAAAAGGACCAAAAGCAGCCCCATTCATTCATAGAGTCAGAGAGCGGCGACAGCAGCAGCAGCAGCTCTGTACGTATGTGCTGCGTACTCGTATTTGCTTGTACAGAAAACTAAAACTCTCGGGTCATGCATGCATAAGTGCTTAAATTATGCGACTTGAGACAAGGTGAATAAACTCACTGCAACGAAAAAAAAAGAGATGTGAAATGGCACAAACAAACTCACAGGACCAAAGAGTTGCATAAGAGTTAAAGAAGAGAGAAAAAAAGCTGCCGAGATAAAAAGAAAACGCTTGCATTCCACTCATCCATCCACTTAATCGCTCGTATTCATTTATGTGCTTCATGGTGACACACACAGCAAAAAAAAAAACTAGTGGAAAAACTAGTCACGAATTGTGCTGTGAGAGAGTTTTTCAGGCTCTTTTCTATTTTTTTCCGCCTTTTTTTTACGTTACATATTCGTTAACAATATTCAACGTGGCAAGAGAAATGTGCCCCTTCATTCTGAACACAATCAAACTTTTTCCTTCGTTTTTGTTTCTTACTTCATTTTCGCTATTTTATTTTGATTTTTTCCTTCTGTTGAACTCCTCAGATTGTAATGAATTATTTTAGTTTAGATATTCGCATCATTTTCGAATTAAAATCTTTCAGTAAACCAGCACAATGAGTCCATTCATTATTGGTCAGAATTTCTCTTTCGATGGAAACAATAAATGTGTTGTCGTTTGTTTATTGTGTGTTGTGCACTTGTTTACATTCATTATTATTATTATCATCATCAGCGTGGTGTTGATGAGACGAAGAAAAAAAAAGCAACGAAAATTTACAAAGAGGAAAAAAATGCAAACTCAATACAACTGGCAAATGAAGCGACGTCGACACAAATTCGATCTGATAGAATCTTCCATTAATCGAAACTGTTGTCAGTTTATCGTGTTTTTCTTTTGTGTATCAACGAAATTTTCGTCAGCGCAACGTGCCGGAATACAACACATACCATACAGTACACACACACACAAACATAATCACGAAAACGAGACAGTTGATACACGTTCCGTTAGCATCCATGCAAAAGAAATTCGATGAAAGTAAGAAATTCACAATGCATAAGTAAAAACTAAAGCCAAAGTAAAATAAAAATGTTGTTTGTGAATAAAACGAAAGGAGGCGAAAAACTAAAAAGGGAAAGCGCCTTGCTACGTGACTGCGTTAACAAAAACGTACGCATTTATTGTAAATTGTGTATGTGAAGAGGAGCAACTAAAATGAATCGGGCCGTTCGAATATAACGGTTTCGGTGCTGTGTATTTCGTTTCGCAAATGTACACGCACATGTCTCTGATGACTAGAATTCTTAATGCCCTTAATCAACCTAACCACTGCCATCATTACTGTCAATGCTGCCGATATTAAACAACCGTTGTGTTGTCGTTACAGATGCACTCCGTCACTCTTGTCTTGATTCAAATATATTGGGGATGACTGTGTGAGTCTGATGATTGTCGGTCGCGAGATTTTGTGTGTATGTTTTTTTTATTTTTTCGTTATCGTTTCGCATTACTCACATTCGAGACGGTTGAATTTAGGAAAGGAGAGAGAGGTGGGGGAACATAAACTGTATGTCTATTTGCAATATTTGTATGTGATCGGCTCACAGCTAGAATCGCACATAATATTTGTAATAATTTACGAACATAGACTTTAATAACTGTATTCTAACAATTTATTTACACAATTTCCAAGTCGAACCAATATATACATGCAATGTGCGGTTTTGTGTCTGAAGCGAAAATAAATCGCATCAAGCGGTTGAAAGGAGGTTTTGATGCAATTGAGAAAGGCGTTTACACTTTGTAGTCTTCAATTTGTGTTGTTATGCTCACAATGTTTTACTGATAATGAACCTCAACAGTTCGGTGTGTGTGTGTCATGGTTTTGCGGTTTCAGACAAACTCGACGAGCAGATGATAATGTTCTAATTTGACATTTCCATCGGTTTTTCAACTTTAATTGACTTCATTGTTATAGTTATCATTTACGTGGCCGTATTCGATCTGACAGCCGATAAATAAATGTGCGGCTTTGCCGCGAGCACATAAGAAGAAGACCGTCTATCATTTTTGGCCATTGTTAAATTATCTGTGCAAAATCCATTGGCAATGTGAAAGCAAATGAAAAATGATTTTGATTTTAATCACATCTCAAATGAATGGAATGTTGGCTCGCCCAACACGTGCCACATTTATTTTTTCCTCTTGATTAAATGCACATTTGTTACCTCTTTCAGATGAATGACATTAAATATCGACAAAGTTTTATTGATGTTAAAGTTACGACTGCAAATTTCACACAAAAAACTTTGATGCCAAAGACGATCCTTAATCATTCAATAGAATAATTAATGACAACAAACGTGTCTCATAATTGCAAATCACAAACGATGTGGTTAGGAAAACGTAGCGATGTATTCAATAAGAGGGTAAAAAACATGTTAAATCTCACTGGAAATTCATTTCTGTTATTTGATGAAAGAAATGGAAACGTTGTGTGTTGAACACAGTATGAGAGTACACAGAGCCGTGCAAATAGTGTGGTAATGAATTGATTATCATAATTTGCCAAATAAATAAGTGCATCTGGTGAATTGATGAAACTATCGGATATCGGAAATTATAACATACAACTCACGTACACCGCATATACATTTTATTGATGATCACGAAACGAAACGAATTGAATTCCCGAATGCACGAACAAATTAACGAGTGATTATTAAATACGATATGACTTACGTAGAGGAGACGCGATGAAGAGACTGAATAAAATAGAAAAAAACCGCATTTGTCTGGAAATCGATTTAATCGGTTGTTCTGTGCACAGCAACCGAATTCGCACCCACATCAAATTCAATTTTGACTATTTCAAGAGAAATTGACAACCAGAATTGTTGAAGTGAAAATGTGAAATGTATAAAGATTTATTTACTTTTCTTATCTGCTTTTGAGTATACCCAACGAACAAATATGTAACGTTTTTAGGACATTTTAACGTTAAAAAATGTAACGCTTTAACCCATTTTTGTGGCAATTTTCGTGTCAAATGGAAGGTAGAATATAGGCATAATGTGAACCACTTTTTCGGCTTTTTCGTGTTGCGATACACAACAACATCTTCTGTGTGTTTCGATTGTTTCTCTTTTTGTTATTATATTCTAAGAAACTGTAGCGGCAATACAATGTAAACAAATGTAAATAACATAAACTCGTTGAGTTCATAATATCGTATTCATACGATTGATTTTAAGCAAATAAAATTTGAAAAACAAACCGGAAAAAAAAGAGGATGAAAATACAAATCTTACTCTCTTCTCTCTGTGTGTGTTTCGATTGTGCATGAATAAAAAAAAACATTGCGTAGGAATTTCAAGTGACTGTGAAATACATTTATAAATGTACTTTTTTTTAGATTTGTTTGATTTGATTTTAGTTTCAGAAACCTTTTTTTATTTTTTTTATTTTTTTTATTTCATAATTCAAATTCGAATTTCGAATTCGAAACATGTTTGAATGTGTACGACATTTGACAGTTTGTAGCTGTGTGTATTGGTGTGTATCATATCGAAGCCGATTTTTCTGATTACATTCAAAATGTGCTTCGTAAACATTGCATCGTATCAATTAATTTCTTTGAACTAAATAGGGATTTTTTCGCATCAAAATATTTTGAAGTTACGTAGGTTGCTCCATAATTTTTTTTAAAATGGTACTTATAGTGTTGCCCGATGTAAACCATTGTCATATTCGTAAAGTTTGATGTTTTGGTATGTATTCGTGCCCTGAACCTTTTGTCGTACGAACGCTATTTGTATTGTTTACAGTGACTGGTAAACTGCGACTCAACAAAAAAATGAATTTTACACGTGAAGATTTTCGTAAAATGATTTACTACGATTTTCGAAGTAAATTATCTCAACAACAGTGTTTCGATCGACTTCATTTGGCCTTTGGCAATGAAGCACCAACCCTTCAGACAATTTATAACTGGTACCGAGAATTCCGTTGCGGTCGTAGTTCGCTCAAAGACGAGTTTCATACAGGTCGTCCAAAATCGGCTGTTGTGCCACAAAACATCGATGCTGTCAGAAAACTGATTATGGAAGATCGTCATGTGACCTACCGTGAGATTGAGGCATCTTTGGGCATTTCATCCCACAGCATACATACAATTTTGCATGAACATTTAGCCGTAAAAAAGATTTGCTCTCGTTGGATCCCACATAAATTGACCGATGAACAAAAAATGGCTCGTGTGAGTTGGTGTAAAGAAATGCTCAAGAAATTCATTCGTGGTGCTTCAAAAGACGTTAATAAAATCGTCACTGGTGACGAATCGTGGATATATGCCTATGAGCCCGAAACGAAACAGCAGTCGACTGTATGGGTCTTCCAAAATGAAGATAACCCAACGAA